TTCCGTCCGTGCCAGTGTTTCGACATTGGTAGCGGAGCCTGGGGTAATAGACCCTGGGCTCCGAGACGGATCTTGGCGCCGCCATGAATGCCACGTCGAGCGACCATGGAGGTCTCAAGTATTTTTCCGGTGATAGCGAAGACCAGAAAGAATATCGTCGCTGGAAAGCATGGGTCCAAGCAAAGATGCTTACCCTAGACAAGATGCCCAAGGAAGCCCGTGGTGCATACGTGTTCACTCTGCTGTCTGGCAAGGCCCTGGAGTGTGTGGAACACTTAGAGCCATAAAAATATCAGACTGCTGATGGAGAAAAGGTTTTGTTTGAGCTTTTGGACGCCCGCTTCCCTCAGAAGGAGATGTCGGATGAGATGTCCGAGACCCTGACCGAGATCTTCAATCTGAAGATTCACGAAGGAGAAAGCCTCAAGGCTTGGATCAGCCGTGCTTCGGAGATGTTTGACCGCTGCTTGAGGAAAACCAATGTTTCCTTCCCGGAAGAGGCCAAGGGCTGGTTGATTTTACATAGAAGTGGCCTCTCCAATGAGCAGAAGGCGGTCTGCTTGGCTCGGTCTTTGGGGGTGCTCAAACGCGAAGAGGTTGGCAAGGCAATGAGATCCTGCTATCCAGAGTATGTAGGGTCGAAGAAGTCACACTCTGGAGCAGCTGTTGTTGAGACCGACTTCATGGAGCCGGACCTACAACAGACTGTTGATTCTGCTGAGGAGTTTCACGATGTCGAACAGTTCTTAGCTGAACACGAACTTGGAGAAGCCCTCGACGACTCCGAGTGTTTCGAAGAAACGGAGGTGGCTGAAGCTTTAGCAGCTAGCTGGAAAGACAAGCGTCAAGAGCTCAACCGCTTGCAGAAGGCTCGTCGCTTCTCCCAGGCCACTGATGTGAGACGCTCATTCCGCGTCGAGGTCGAGGAGTTGAAGAAGAAGACCAAGTGCCATCGCTGCGGACAGATAGGCCACTGGGCTCGTGACTGTCGCCAAGGGGGTAAAGCCAAAGGAAAAGGTGCAAAGGGTGTTGATCGCCCCCCGTGAATCCGGAGCTGCCGTGGTGGTTGAAGAGACACCTGAGTTCTTTGTCGCCATGGTACAATCACACATGACCATCCTGGAGCGCCTTAGGCTGAAGCGTGTTGCCTCGACCTTCGAAGTTGATGGAGGTCCAGCTGCAACGGAGTGCCTATTGGTATCGAGCCCCGGTTTTGGGGTCATTGATTCTGGATGTGGACGCACCATTATTGGCAAAGACACCTTGGCATCCTTCCAAAAGCTTTGGAAAGATCGTGCCGTCCCTCTTCCGGTGGCCGAACCTGAGGAAAATCACTTTCGCTTTGGAAACGGAAACAAAGAAGTTTCTTCTGAAGTGGTGCCTATGCCGGTCAACATTGCTGGAAGAACTGGTGTGATTCGAGCTGCAGTGGTGCAAGGTCGAGCTCCTCTCCTGATCTCACGCTCAGCTCTGCAGAAGTTGAAAGCAGTGCTGGATTTTGATCAGTGCCGCATGACGTTGTTCGATGGAGCATGTCACGTCCCTCTGCAGATCAATGCTGCCGGACAATTTGTGATTGATGTGATTGGCTCAAAAAGTGATCGTGTGCCCACCTCGCCGAAGCCGCCTGATTTTGAAGAAGTGATGGCTTCTGTTCCTGATGCAGTGGAAACCTCCACTGTGGCCGATGATCATGCCGCTCCTGACGCAGAGCCTGAGTCTCTTCGGTCAGAACCCGTTGAGTCAGATGAGTGCTCTGCGAGTCCCTCGGATGTGCATAAAGATGTGTCCATATGGTCTCGTTTCGATTCGGATTTGACCTTGACACCCATCACCGGAAAGAATTCCCCACTATGGCGAACTGTTTTTCGTAGAGTGATCCAGGACATAGACACTGGCACAATCGTTTTCGATCAAACGATAGATCCAAAGGAAGACAAACGCAAATACGTGCAGCCAATGCCAAAGCATGTTCGCCGAACACGAACTGATTTCCATTTCACGCCCCAGGAATGCCTGTGCTCGACTGAGTGTCTGCCTGTACAGGTTGTCAGGAAATTGAAAGCATGTGTCCGTGAAGCCCCTCAGAGTGCTGGCACTAGGCTCGATGGCCGTCGTTTTCTCGTAGCCGAAGTGTTTAGTCCACCACGCTTCACTGGTCATATCCCGAAATGAAAAGGCTTTGTGATACTTATCACCCTGTCAAGTGTCATATGTGCCGGTTCGGGTTGAAGCTCCCTCAAAGTGATCGGTATATTCGCAAGGCCACTCAATTGCTGCTGAGTCATGAGCACATGAAGGGGTTATCACGCGTGTGTCCGGGGAAACAGGATCCACATCATAGCTGTCATGACATGATTGCTGGATCTCACCCTGATGTTGGCTCCGTGAGTCAGTATACAGCTCAGTACACTCCAGCTTTTGTTCGTGCGGTCCTTCGCACTGTGCCAGCATTTTTGCAAGGCTGTCGAATCCCATTTGGTCCAGGTGCAGAATGGTTGTTCCATGGAAATGCATGAAGTGCTAGCTAGCCGTGAAGAATTGCAATGTGAAGACGATGACAGCATCACTAAAGCACTTCAGAAACTGCATAAAAACCTAGGACATCCAGCAACTCATGATCTTGTGAGGATTCTGAAGCATGGTTCTGCATCTAATCGGGCCATCGAACTGGCAAAGAACCTGAGCTGTGACTTTTGTAAGGCCAACATCCGACCACATGTGCCACTTCCCGCTCGACCGAACCGAGTCAACGCTTTCAACCAGAGTGTCGGAGTGGATGTAAAATGGTTGCCAGGGTTCAAACCAAATCAACAAATCAAAGCACTGAACATGGTAGACCAAGGCAGTTGTTTTCAACAGGTTGTGCCTTTCTTCGAGCAAGAAACCACTGAAGTGATTCGCAAGCTGTTTGATACCCACTGGGTTAAATGGGCAGGACCACCCCAAGAAATCATCGTTGATCAGGCTAGAACCAATCTAGGAGAAGCTTTTCAGGGATGGCTGGACAATCAGGGAGTTTCCGTTCGCATGATCCCCGCCGGTGCACACTGGCAACTCGGCAGGACAGAATCTCACGGAGGATGGTTTGGTCGAGTTTTAGATAGGGTCATCCAAGAACATGCACCTTCCAATCAAGCGGAATGGGAGGAATGCGTTCGACATGCCCATGTTAAGAACCATATGATCCAGAGCTATGGATATACACCTCACCAGCATGTTTTCGGACGCAACCCGGAACTTCCTGGAGACTTGCTGAATGAACCACTCCATGTAGTCCCCGGCACTGCTGGTCTCAGCGATGATGCGGTAGCACGAGCTCAAGCTATTCGCACGAGCGCGCGACATGCAGTCATTGCATTGCAGGACGACAAGGCACTTCGCCATGCATTGGCTGCCAGACCTAGGGCGACAATTCATTTTTGTCCGGGAGACCTTGTGTGTTATTGGCGAAACCAAAAACTAGTGGGAAAAGGGGTCGTGCAACAAGGTGGACGTTGGTACGGCACTGCCGTCATCATAGGTCAGATAGGAAAGAATTGGATAGTTGCTCATCGACGTCAAATCATCAGGTGCGCTCCAGAGCAGCTCCGTCCAGCCACCACCGAAGAACGGACTCTGATTTCGTCGCCTCAAGCTGAGTTGTTAGGTGTGAAAGATCTCATTGAGGGAGGAACCTTCAAAAGCCACCAACTGATTGATTTGGTCCCAGGTCACTACCCTACCAGTGAATCTAGTCAGCAGAGTCCGGATACAGGCACACAAGAGAACCCCGATGTACAGAAACCTGCTGTGGACGAGAAGGCAGTGACACCTCCCAGTGTTCAACCGATGACTAGAGATGATGAACCAAAGCCGACCATCCAACCACCAGACTGGAACGCAGAACAAAGCAATGTGCCATCAAACACCAGCAGTGCATCAACTGACCGTCCTAGGGATACACCTCAAGCAGAATCTAGTTCTTATGGTCCCATCCGCAGACGGGTCGATCAGAAGTCAGGTGCCACCGCGTTGTATCGTCCAGCAGCCATGAGACAAGAAGACTTCTTGGAAGTCATCAAAGAAGTCGTGCCTCGTTTAATTGATGAAGCCATGCAACCGACCGATGAGTCCATGGATGCCGGCTTGAAACGACCTTTGACGCCATCTCATGCCGATGAAGTCCAGGAACCACCGACTTCGAAACACAGAGGTTCTGAGGATGATGAAGTCCTTTCTGTAGAGGAAATCAATCAACACTTGTCTCAAGGGTCCATCGAGTCTTTGATTGCAGCGTACATGGAAAAGAAACTAAGTAAAGAAATTCCTCCATCAAAAAAACCCCCCAGAACTGCAGAAGCTAGTAGATGAATCAAAGGGAGTTGAATGGAACACAATAGCGGATAAGCAAGCAATTCGCTTACACTTCGGTAAAAAAAGGCTTTGAAAATCAAGGAACAGTTCGCCGATCGATTCATCGGTTCTCGATTCGTGATTATTCGCAAAGCAATTCAGGACGGCCCGGGATAGCCGTAGACATACATGATCCAACCACTTTCAAGATCAAGAGTCGATGGGTGGTTCAAGGTCATCTCGATCCTGACTTAGCCTTGAAAGCCGAAGAAGGCATGCTTCAGTCGCCGACCTTAAGCCAACTAGGTAGGATGACCTTAATGCAAGTCATCGCATCTTTCCGTTGGAAACTGCAACTTGGTGACATCAAAGGAGCATTCCTTGAAGCCGGCTCGTTGCCTGAAAAGTACAGACCGCTATATGCCAAGATGCCTCCTGAAGGCATACCCGGAGTTCCAAACCGGGAGGACGTGGTGATCGAGATCGTTGGAAATATCTATGGACAGAACGATGCACCAAGAGCTTGGCACCGAACGTTTGACACTGAAGCTCTGAAACTCGGCTGGACTCGATCGATCTTGGATCCTTGTTTGTACACCTTGCGTTGTCCCAAGGCACAAAAACTGGTGGGCATTATGGGAATCATACTGCAGTAGGCGGTGATGGTCACTACTTTGAAGAAGTGTTAGGACAAATGAGATCTCGGTTTCCCTTTCGAAAATGGCGCATTGGCAATGGTGAGTTCTGTGGTGCTCTGTATGAACAATGTGAGAAAACGGGTGAGATCACCATGTCACAACAATCCTTTGCAGAGGGCCTTCGACCCGCGTCAATTCCGAAGGGAGTGCCAGCCTCTCAACCCCTGACTGATCAGCAGTCTCGAGTTCTAAGGGCAATAAACGGGAGTCTCAACTGGCTATCATCGCAAAGTCGACCTGATCTTTCTTGCCAAACCAATATGTGTCAACAAGGGTTTCCCAAACCAACCATTCACAATCTCCGAGAAGCAAACAATGCTATCCGTAGAGCAAAACAACACAAAGACTTGAAGATCTTGTTCAAATCCATCAAACCGGGAGATTTGACGGTGTGTTGTCATTCTGACGCAGCCTTTGCAAATGTGGGTTGTCATACTCAAGCAGGTTATGTGTTGGCCTTTGAAAAGCAGTTGAATGAAGGAAAACTATCTGCCTGGACTCCAGTGACTTGGCGTAGCTACAAGCTTCCTCGAGCTGTGAGCTCCACTCTAGGGGGGGGAGAGTCAAGCGCTGGCAACCGCCAGCGGCACCGCCGAATGGTTAAGCTTGATGCTGGCGGAGATCTTGGACGGACCTTTCGATGCTCGTGAGGCCAGAGAGTTGTTGAAAAAGAGGTCCCCAATAGTCACTGTCAAGAGACCCCCAGTAATGGCTACCGATTGTAAAAGTCTTTATGATCATTTGGTGTCACCATCATCCCCAACAGCTATTGAGGATCGCCGAACAAGCATAGACATCGTGATCTTGAGAGAATCGTTGAAACTCACCGGAGGATGCATTCGCTGGCTGCCCACGAATAGAATGATCGCCGACGGACTGACGAAGGACCGTCAAGAGCCCGCAGACCTTTTGCGAGCGTGCATCCGACAGGGGGTGTACCAGATTTCTCCAGAAGACACCATCCTTCAGCAGCAGGCAGAAGAAAGATTGCGAAGACAGCACTTAAAGAGTGCTACTCTGCCGGAGGGGACGAATTCGTAATAGTATATATCCGGCAATTTGATCGCTTCTTTTAGATGTGCTAAAATATACACTTCAATCCAATAGGGATGGATTGTAACGGGTTATTTGAGTTCGTGAGAAGCTTTTGACTTGCGGTTTATCACTTCTGCATGTTTTTGCAAATAGTGCATTTGTCAAGGTGTATGCTGCGAGGTTTCGTGTCCACAGTCTCTGGTTTTTGGTTGTTTTGAGTATTGTGTTTACTTGTGATCTCAAGTGCTTTTTGTTTGTTTGCATAGCGTTTTGTGTCAAGCAAGCTGATTCAAGCGAAGTCACGATCTTGCATTCTTTGTTTTTCTCGAGCATCATGCCATTGACGCCTGAAGAGCACAGCCAGCTGAAACATCTGCTGGAAAAGGCCTCGACCGATTCAGCCACAAGACCATCCTTGTTGGTGGAAGGACCACCTGAGAGCTCATCGTTTTTCGTTGGTGATACTGACCAGTCCGATGCCGGCTTTAGTCTTGTCCCCTTCTCCAATGAGGTTGGGGGAGCTATGACAGACGCGTCCAAGCGTCGTGACGGGTCTTTGATGGAGCACCAACAGCCAAAGAAGCCTCATGCCATGCCCAAGGCCGTGTTTCCACTTGGAGCGATGGGAGCCGCACCAATGTCCTCCTTCTCCCCTGAGCATGTCAGCGGAACACCTATGATGAACAGTTCCGATGCCTCAGCTGGATATGTCGCTTCAATTCAGTTTGCACCACCCATGCCTCAGTCCGAAAAGTCTTCGAATTTGGTACCTGAGCTGCCGCCACAGGTAGAAAGTTTGGAAGAATGGGGTCGCACAGTGATCCAATTCGGGCAGTACAAAGGCTGCAACATGTCATATGCCGAGCTTGCCAGTTCCGAGGACTCTCGAGCCAAGAGCTACATCAAGTGGGTGACGGCTCGTCACCGCAGCTCGACAGGTTTGTTGCATGATCTCGCAGGATACCTGGTAAGGTACCAATTCGAGATCGATTACCGCCTTGATGAGGCCTGGTCCGGTACTTGCATTCCCGGAACCTCAGTGCCACGAGCCATGAAGTGAAAGAAAAGATAAAACAGTGAATGTTGAAAGCTTCCATGAATGCCACCAGCACTCTTCCTTTCAGGTT